ACTCTTCCCCTCTCTCACCCTCCTTTCACACTGTCTCCAGTATGCATAACTATTTTCAATGCTTTCATGTCCTCCAATCTTTCGTCTCTACTATAGAGTGCAGACAGTTGGTATATGTTAAGTAGAGAAATATAGTCTCTCTTTCATAACCTGACTTGCTTCATTCAGCAATAAATCTTGCCTATTCGTCCACTTTCTATCAAAAACCAGTCTTGTTTTTTTTTAATTGTTATTTTTTTTTATGGTTGAATAGTATTCCATGGAATATATGTGCAACACTGTTTCAATCCATTCATCTGTTTGAGTCCAGCACCTTTAAACACCATGCCACTGGCTGCCCCCAGACTCCTGGAGTTTTTCTTTTTTTAAAAGAGATTTTTGCTGTAGGGTGCATGCAATTGCCAGAGAGAGAGACAGAAAGTGAGAAATCACTCTCACTTTCTGTTTCTCTTCTCTCCAGTGAGCACATGTGCCCTATAGCAAAGTCTCTCTAAAAATTATTATTTTTTTAAAAGTGCTTAGGTCATAAAGGTTCTGCCCTCATGGATCATTGTGGGAGTAGGTTAGATAGTGTGGGTTCCTGATAAAAGCCTTCCTCCTCCTCTCTCAGGCATGTGCTCTTTTGCCTTCCATCTTTTGCCATGGGATGAGGCAATAAGAAGGCCCACACAAGATATAGGCCCTCTATCCTGGACTTCTCACCCTCCAGAACCATGAACCAAATTTTTTTTTTTTTTTTTTTTAAGTTCATGCACGGGTCAGAGAAAGAGCAATGAGAAAGCACCTGCGGGGAGATGACCACGCGGCAACAATCCCTTCTCCTCCATTCTGCTCTTGGGATTTTGGGGATGCATGCACTAGCACTTAAAGAGTGTTTTTCAAGCTATTGGATCTAGGACTCAAACCACACAAAGTCAGCCATGTGGAATCTAGCCACCTTCACCACTATGCTACCTAACTGGCCACAAGCCAGATAAATTTGTGTTCATTATAAGTTACCATAAAGTTATACAACAATGAAATGTAAATAAGAATTTATAACATAAAATAAAATTGGGGGAAAAAACTACCCAGTCCCTCAGATATCTTGTTATAATAGCACACATCCAACTAGGATAGGGTATGACTTTTTTTTCCCCTCCTTTGTTTCTTTCCTTGTTCATTAATTCAACAAATATTTGGGTACCTATTATGTACCAGCTACTGTTTAAAACACTGGGGATACAGCAATGACAAAAGAGATTGAATTGAGTATATATTCTAGGATGAGGAGACAGATGATGACCAAATAAAAAATAAAACAGATCAGATGGTGATAGCAAGGAGACAAATAAAGAGGTAAGAATGATAGGATGTAACGAGTACTGAGATGGGGTACTAGTACTGATATTATAAACAGGGTGGAGAGAAATAGCTAATACAACCAGCAATGAGAAAAAGCAAGATCAAACTGTGGACTGCTTTAAGAAGATAAATCCTTTATAGAACCAAAAGTGTTTACACCTTAGGTCTTGACGCTAATTTTTTAAAAAATTACTTTATTTATTCATTTTACTTATTTTAATTTGACCAGAGAAGGGAAGACAGAGAAAGAGAAAGTTAGAAAGCAAGCCACCAGGTCTGGAACTCGAATCGTGGTCAGTCATGTGGGAGTTCAGCACCCTTACCCCCCACGCCACCTGCCAGCCTCATTGACACTAGTTTTTTTTTTTGGAGAGATTTTTGTTATAGGGCGTGTGCGCTCGCCAGACAGACAGAGAGAGACATAGAGACAGAAAGTGAGAAATCACCCCCCAGGGGGGATGGTCACGCCGCAATCCCTTCTCCTCCATTCTCCTCTTGGGATCTTGGGCACGCACGCACACGCGCCCGCCGTGAGTTTTAAGCCACCGGGTCCGGGACGTGAACTGCGGTTGACTATGTGGGAGTCCAGCGACATAGCCATTATGCTAACTGCTGGTTCCCGAAACTAGTTTTTGCAAAAAGGGGAAAAGGACATTGACTTGGTTAGATATTCAATATTAAACGTTTATTGAATTGTCTTTAGAAAGATTTTATAGATTAAAACAGGCCTTACCTATTTTACACACATACGTATATACCACTTTGCGGTGGCAATATCCACACTATAAACATGCCACATGTATAAAGTAAGGACATGAAAAAAAGTTACATATGTAACCCTTCATCCTAAACATGTACAGGACACTTACCATACCACACTTTCCCTATGTTTCACTACATTGGAAGTAAAATATGAAATCTTTAAGAAAGTCCAAGTGAGACTGGCTCATGGCATGAGGAGTACGCCAGATTTGAGGGGTGGGCTAAGTGTACGTCAGATACTTTTGTGATTGCCAAAGAGGTTCCATTTGAGAACTCTGTGCTGTGATACTTACGCTGCCCCTTTCTGGCTTCCTAAGGCTAGCTAGAAATTGGTCATGTGATTACACGCCTTTATGATCTTCATAATGATGTTTTACATTTACTAACTTTTACATATTTCTGAATATAATTTCGCTAAGGAAGAAGGTTTATAGATAAATCAAACATATTGGGCAGAGTAGCACTAAAATCGATTAAATAAGTGGATGGGCAGGGGACTCATGATAATACGCTGAATGGCTAAGGTTTAATGTCATGGGTCATGACAGTAAACGATTTATTTCTGTGAAACAAAGAAATATACAAGTTATGTGAAGAATTAACAGACTTGCTGTTCAGCATTGCTTTTGGCAAATGGGCATTTAAATACTTCAGGAAGGTAAAAGCCAGAAAATGGCTAGGAAGGAAATTATGCTTTTAGAAATACCTTTGCTTAGAATGATCTTAACTATCAAAATAGTCAATTTCTCTTATAACAGCTCAAACACCTACCTAGGTGAAGGAAATCTTGAGGAAAAACAGATGATATAAAACTTCATTATTAAAGAAATAAACTACCCCCCCCAGATGAAAGGTCATGCTAGGATCACTATTTCAAAATAATAACTTGTCAAACAAAGATGCAATTAGCACTATTAAGATGTTTAAGAGTAGGGTTAACTTCAAAGCACAAACTATATTTACACACACACACACACACACTGAGGTTTAGCTGATTCTCTTAGCTTAAATTCGATAGCTTAAATACGACAATAACATAACCAGGTAGTGTTAAATTATGGAAAGCACATTTCTACAGACCATTTCCTGGGAGAGTACTTTTGATAAGCTTTTGTAGCTTTAGTGAGCATCAGTAAACAGTCCATGTCACTTGCTTTAGTTTGTTTGGGCCTACTAATTGTTCTAAGACTTCTCGTGAATGATCTGAAAAACAAAACAATATATAAATTCACAGTTATCAAAGATAGTTAAGGTTTCCTCATGTGTAAATGGGATAATGATAACTTATTTCTCACAGGATTATTTAAAAATTAAACATGACAATATGTAAAGCAAAGTATATAGCTGAAGTATTCATTATTAATTAATGGTGGCTCTCATCATTACCAGGTACAGTGCACATAAAATTGCAATATTTTTTAAAATAAGTATTTAGGGGCCACCAGGTGGCATGGTGGTTAAGGTGCTGGACTCCCTCCCACATGGCTGAATGTGGGTCGAGTCCCAGACCTAGTGGCTTGCTTTCTCACTTTCCTCTTCTCTCTCTCTCTGTCCCTTTGGTCAAATGAAAGCTTAATAATAAATAAAAATGACAAATAAAATTAAATAAAGAGATAATTTTTAAAAATTTTAAAATATAAGCCTTTATTAGGGCCGGCAGGTTGCATGGTGGTTAAAGCACTGGACTCCCACATGGCTGACCACGGTTTCAGTCCCAGACCTTGTGGCTTGAAAATCATACCAAGTACATGTGTGTGCATGCTCGAAATCCCAAGAAGAGACTAGAGGAGAGGGGATTACAGTGTAGCCAGCCCCCCTGGGGGAGTGTGATTTCTCACTTTCCCTCCCTCTGTCTCTCTCTGGTGAGTGCATGTGCCCTATGGAGCATGCAGGAGAAGGGATTATAACCTGGGAGTGGGTGGGTGGGAGTGATTTCTTACTTTCCCTCTCACTATCTCTCTGGGGAACACATGTACCCTGTGGCAAAAACCTTAAAAAATATTATTTGTAAATTTAACAACCTTGTTCCACAGATGTACAACCTATGCTATATCAATAGGTACAATACATCTCTAGCCTAGTCTTGGAAACTCTCTAATTTAGTGATTCCTAGACATACAGATTTCACACTAGTCTTTTTTTTTTTTTGGAGAGGTTTTGCTATAGGATGCCTATGCTCACCAGAAAGACAGAGAGTCAGGGAGACAGAAAGCGAGAAATCACCCCCCAGGGGGGATGACCATACCACAATCCCTTCTCCATTCTTCTCTCGGGATCTTGGGCATGCATGCACACGTGCCTGGCATGAGTTTAAGCCACCGGGTCAGGGACTTCAACCACAGTCAAATACATGGGAGTCCAGCGACATAGCCATTATGCCAACTGCTGGTTCCCACACGAGTCTTAAAAATAAATGGGCCCAACATAAATGGTTACTAAATTTTAATTTTAATAAATTTAGACAAAAATGTCAAGGCTTACGTAATCAAGAGAACCACAGAATATAAAAAAGGAGAGGTATCCTTGGTTATTATGGAGGAAACCTATTCAATGGGAAATCTAGATTTAAAGAAAATCTTCAAATATGTTGAAAAGAAAAAAAAAAGGACAAAGATGTATCATGTAAATAGCAACCATTATTAAAGCTGCAATGGCTACACTAATAGAGGTGGGGAGAACATTTTTCAACTCATTCTGTAAGGCCAGTATTACCCCTGACACCAAAGCCAGACAGGTACTTCACAAAAAAAGGAAACTCAGACCAAGATCTCTTATGAATACAGACTGAAGAATCCTCAGCAAGACACTTAACACACCAGATCCAGAAACTATGAAAATATTACCTACTATGATCAACTGGGATTTGTCCCCAAAAACGCAAAGTTGGTTTAACATCTAAGAATCAATTAATATAACACACTCTATTCGTTTCCTACTGTTGCTGTAAGAAATTATATAGGATGCCTATGCTCACCAGAAAGACAGAGAGTCAGGGAGACAGAAAGCGAGAAATCACCCCCCAGGGGGGATGACCATACCACAATCCCTTCTCCATTCTTCTCTCGGGATCTTGGGCATGCATGCACACGTGCCTGGCATGAGTTTAAGCCACCGGGTCAGGGACTTCAACCACAGTCAAATACATGGGAGTCCAGCGACATAGCCATTATGCCAACTGCTGGTTCCCACACGAGTCTTAAAAATAAATGGGCCCAACATAAATGGTTACTAAATTTTAATTTTAATAAATTTAGACAAAAATGTCAAGGCTTACGTAATCAAGAGAACCACAGAATATAAAAAAGGAGAGGTATCCTTGGTTATTATGGAGGAAACCTATTCAATGGGAAATCTAGATTTAAAGAAAATCTTCAAATATGTTGAAAAGAAAAAAAAAAGGACAAAGATGTATCATGTAAATAGCAACCATTATTAAAGCTGCAATGGCTACACTAATAGAGGTGGGGAGAACATTTTTCAACTCATTCTGTAAGGCCAGTATTACCCCTGACACCAAAGCCAGACAGGTACTTCACAAAAAAAGGAAACTCAGACCAAGATCTCTTATGAATACAGACTGAAGAATCCTCAGCAAGACACTTAACACACCAGATCCAGAAACTATGAAAATATTACCTACTATGATCAACTGGGATTTGTCCCCAAAAACGCAAAGTTGGTTTAACATCTAAGAATCAATTAATATAACACACTCTATTCGTTTCCTACTGTTGCTGTAAGAAATTATCACAAGCTTAGTGACATAACAACATGAATTTATTACTCTTTGTTTGGGCCTTCTCGTTAGTTTTGAAGGTGAGAATTCTAAACTCGTTCTCACTGGGCTAAAATCAGGTGTTGGCAGGACTGCATTCATTTGTGAAGGATCTATGGGAGAATCGACTTGACTTTTCCAGCCTCATGCTGGCATCTTTATGGTTCTTTTGCCTCCCTCTTCCACTTTTAAGGGCCTTTATGTTTTTATTGTGCCCACTCAGATAATCCAAGATTATTTCTCTATTTTAAGGCCAACTGACTAGCAACTGTAGTTCTATCTGAAACCTTATGCAACATAACATACTCAAAGGTTCTGGGCATTAGATCATGGCCATCTTGGGTGGGAGCACTGTTCTGCCTATCACATCTACTGTATCAACAGAACAAAGGACAAAACAACATGATCATCTCAGTAGACACAGAAAATCCATCTGACAAAAATTGGATACATGATAAAAAATGTTCAACAAATTAGAAAAAGAGGGCATCCATGAAAAGTCCACAGCTAACATCATATGATGAAATGGTGATAATGGTGAGAGACTAAATGTTTTCATCCAAAGATCAAAAGGATGTCCACTCTTGCCATTTCTATTCAACTTTATGCCAGTGGTTTGGCCATGGAAATTAGACATGAAAAAAGAAATAAAAGGCATTCAGTTTGGAAGAGGTTAAACCATCTTTCATTGTAAATGATGTAATACTATATATAGAATATCCCGGGACCAGCAGTTGGTGCAACGGCTATGTCGCTGGACTCCCATGTGATCGACCATGGTTCGAGTCCCAGACCCGGTGGCTTAAACTCACACTGGGTGCACATGCATACATGCCCAAGATCCCACGAGGAGAATGGAGGAGAAGGGATAGAGGCGTGGCCATCCCTTCTGGTGAGTGATTTCTTGCTTTCTGTCTCTCTGTCTTTCTGGTGAGAGCACACGCCCTATAGCAAAAACCTCTCAAAAAAAAAAAAAAAAGTAAGAGAAGTCAGATTGCTTTGAGGGTAACATACTATAATTGCACATGCATATTACGGGACTCAGAAAATGAAAATGAGACCCCAAAGTATGGTTCTTCGGCATGCTGAGTACACGGAGAAAAGAGATGGGAAAGCCTCAGAAGTAGCCACAGAAGCAAGATCTTTCTGGCCATTTCCTGCTTTTCTTTCTGTTCTTTCTTCCCAAAGACAAGTTACAGAAACTAGAATTTTTCCTCCTCAAGGCAGGTCATAAAAACTAGAACCTGCTTTTCTCCAAAGCCAGACAACTAGCCATCCTTTGCCTTTTGCCCAGGAGCTGGCCATAAACAGATTCTCTGGTCTACCCTTATCTGATAGTCCTAAGACCCTCATTCCAGAAGGAGTCCTGCCCTATACCAAAGAGGAAGGAATGCCACAGACAGACCAAGAATCTAGACAGACAGGCCTTGCTAGGTTTCCCCATGTCTACTGGTGTTAGATCATTCCTTTTTCATTCAATCGTATTTCTATACACCATCTACTTTTCATTGGAATCAAGCATAAAAATGGACAGTTTTCCTTTGTCTCTTGGGTCTTCATTTGGAAGGCTCCAGTGCCACTTTGAAATAATCTCTTATGCTTTTCTCTTGTTAACCTGTCTTTTTATTATTAGAGTCTTGGCTATAATCTTTATTATGGTAAGAAAAGGTAAATATCACACCTTTCTGAGCCTTCAATATGCAAGTGTAGTAAATTTTTTTTTTTTGGAGAGGTTTTCGCTATAGGGCACGTGTGCTCGCCAGCCAGACAGAGAGAGACATAGAGACAGAAAGCGAGAAATCACCCCCCAGGGGGGATGGTCACGCCGCAATCCCTTCTCCTCCATTCTCCTCTTGGGATCTTGGGCATGCACGGACACGCGCCCGGCGTGAGTTTTAAGCCACCGGGTCTGGGATGCGAACCGCGGTCGACTACGTGGGAGTCCAGTGACATAGCCATTACGCTAACTGCTGGTTCCCAAAAACACTTCTTTTTTTATGCTACATGTATGAATGTTTTTGAGAATACTATATATACGATGGCACTGTAGTGAATATGAGAGATTTCAGGACAAAGCAGGGAAAAAAATATGACCACAAGGTGGCAGTAGGATACAACGACCTTCAGCTGAGCTGCACTTTGACAGGTTTGCACCCGGGGAAAGTCCCTCAAAGCGCAGGCCTTCCAAAGACAACAGGCAGGGGAGCCACTGCTTAGAAAGGCGGGAGCATAATGGCATTCCT